AGTTAGAGTAATGTAACGTTTTCAGCTTGTGTGAGATATCCATATAAAATCTTTATATTAATAATCCCTGCTGTGATTATTAAATTTGTAACCTGCACGTTGTAGTCCTGAGAGTTGCCACATAGTAAATCTGGCGTCTGCTACTTTATATATTTGATGAAATATGGATATAAAAGTCTTGAAAGCAAAAGGAAAGTCACTGAGAACAGCTTTTGCGGTATGCTGCAACGATATAGCTCAGAAGATCGAAAAAAAAGTTTAAAAAGTGACGAAGTCAGTACGTTGTTTAAACAGATTCAGGACAAATTCACACGTTTAGAAACAACTCAAGAAGAAGTTTCGAATTTGTTGCTAAGTGATGACGCCCTTCAAGATGAATATTTCGAAGACTTTTTTAAAGCAGAAGAATACCGTGACAAGTTCTGCTTGATCTGTTCGCTGTTAGAAAATGCAAAGAAGGGAAATTCGGTTACGGAAGGAACAACAACCGAGCAAAAAAAGGAAATTCAAGCTTCCGAAACTTGAATTGAGGAAATTTAGTGGAGAACCGAAAGACTTTCTTGTTTTTTGGTCCCAGTTTGAAAAAATTCGCAACAACCTCTCTATTGTGGATGAGGACAAATTTCAATATTTGTTACAATGTGTGGTAGCAGATTCTAAAGCATCAAGACTGGTAACAAGTTTTCCGCCAACTAAAGAAAACTATTCAAAGGTCATCGCACAACTTAAAGAACGCTTCGGGAGAGATGAACTTTTGGTTCAGATTTATGTACGGGATCTGCTTTCCATAGTAATGAAAAATGCTACTGGTAGGATTAAAGTAGATTTAGCTGAACTTTATGATTTACTTGAGAGCAAGCTTATGGCACTGGACAGCCTCAGTAGAACTAAGGAAAAATTTGCAGAATTTTAGAGCCACTTGTTGAGTCCTGTTTACCAGAGACTGTTCTTCGTGCGTTGGGAAAGAAGCCGCTCGATGGAAAATACTGCGTCACAGCAAGATAGTGCGCGTTCGTTGGATAAACTTTTGTGCTTTCTTCGAAATGAAGTGCAAAGTGAGGAAATGATTAAGCTCGCTCATACCGGGTTGGGAGCTTCACGTTCTGAACATTCGCGTCCACATGCTGATGATCCAGGTTGCTTTACAGCTGCTGCCTTGGTAAATGTTCAAGACAATACAGGTAGGCGAAAGTTACGTTGTATTTTTTGTGAGAAATTCCACAATTCTGCCGAATGTTTTTCTGCTCGCAAAATGTCTTTACACGATAAACAAAAACTTTTGGTGCAAAAGCGCGCCTGTTTTCGCTGCCTACGAGTTGGACATAGTTCACAGGCATGCAAAAATAAAGTAAAATGTTTAACACGTGATAAATTTCACTATACCATTATGTGCTCAAATGACGAACCTGTAAAGCCTGACAGTACTGAATGAAACTGACAGTACTGTTATTTCAAGTAATGCATTGTCTAATCAGTCAACTGTTAATGAAAATGTGTATTTGCAAACACTTGTTTTAAAAATAGTTTTTGAGGGTAGACTACTTACAGTTCGTGCGATTTTGGACAGGTGGTTCTCAGAAATCTTATCTTTCAGAAAGGGTTATCGCGTTTTTGCAACTGCGTCCTAAATCGAAACAAAGCCATTATACACGGTTTGTTTGGGGGGAGAGAGACAAGTCCTCATTCCCATTTAGTGTTTGATGTTCAATTTAAGAAATTTTGAGGGCACTTATGACCATAACTTTGAAGTACTTTCTCAAAACAAAATATGTGGATGTGTTCCAAAAGTAGTTGATCCCATAATACCCTGAAAGAATTAAAAGAAAGAAATATTACCTTGTCTGATTTGCAAGCTAAAGAATATGACATTGAATTGCTTTTAGGAGCAGATGCCATTGGGGACATTATTACTGGCAGCTCTCTGAAACTGAACTCGGGTGTAACTGTAGTTGAGACTAAATTCGGATACACTGTGATTGGTAAAGTAAACATCTTATCTAAAGAACCTAATTCACCTACTATTCCAGCATTACTACAAAATAATTTGTGCAATAATGTAGTTTCGTTGCATTGTGCTAATCTTAGCGTAACTGAACTCTGGATGCCATTGGCATAACAGACCCAACTGAAGATGTTAAACGTAAACTTCCTCACTCTGACACCGTTAAGCAATTTAAATGTCCTTCCTGATGGCCGATATGAATTGCCACTACCCTTTAAATCTGAATGCCCCATAGACCTGTTGTAAGGCATACTAGCCAGACAATGAAGGTAAGGCCGGTATTCGACGCTTTAGCCCGAGAGAGAAATCAACCATCCCTAAATGATTGTTTAAACAGAGGGCCGAATTTAATTGAACTCATACCTGATATAATTGACAGGTTTAGATTGTATTGTGTTGGTTTATCATCCAACATTGAGAAAGTGTTTCTTCAGCTGAGTATTATCCCAGAACATAGAGATTATTTGAGGTTTTTCTTCCGACTCTTGAAGAACCTATGATTTACAGACACTGCAGAGTGGTGTTCGCCGTTTGTTCGTCTCCATTCCAACTCTCTGCATCGATAGAGCATCTCTTGGATAATTCCCCTGCCCAGTTTGATGATGTGACCCACAAATTAAAGTGTACATTTTATGTTGACAATTGTGTCACTGGGGTTCACGACATCAAACAGCAAGAAAATTTTATAGTTAAGGCGACAGAAGTAATGGCTCGAGGATGTTTTAACCTACGGGGTTGGGAAAGTAATGTTCCTGGTCATTGTATTTCCCGTAGTTCCAGGTATAACTTCTTCTTCTTGGAATCTTATGGGATTTGGATAACGGATACATTAAAATGTAATTTTAATTATTCAATGGATAATGAGATAAGTAAACATAATATTTTGGCTATGGTACATAAAATTTTTGATCCACAGGGTTTTTTGAGATATCCATATAAAATCTTTATATTAATAATCCCTGCTGTGATTATTTAATTTGTAACCTGCACGTTGTAGCCCTGAGAGTTGCAACACTTATTTCAGGCTGCCAAATTGTTGATACTACAGTTTGTTACTTTAAGATAGGCATTTCATGGTCATAGTGACTCTCTTGCCATTTATGATCGTAACATGTGTCGTTATCAACAAAGTGAATTATAGAATTTTAGCAAACTAGAAGATTCAACATTTTTTTTACAGCAGCTGTTACCATGGTAAGGACATAAGGGCTAGAGCAGACTGAAAATGCGAAGTTGTTGTTTTATTAATCGCCAAGTTGTTGTTTTGTTTATCGCCAAGTTGTTGTTTGGTTTATCGCCAAGTTTTTGTTTCATTTATGGTAACCTGAGTAGTTGAATGTTAAAGAAACCCTATTATGATGTAATCGGTTGCATGATTGTGGTAAATTTTGAATTATGGGATAGCAATTCTACTAAGGTGGTTGCAATAATAATTTAGCACTAATATTCTTTTATATTTTTGCTACTTTGAGTTTTGAATGTTTATAAAACCTACAGCTATTAACAAAACTACGTTTTCTTTTACCTACATTAAAAACGATATATATAGGGTATTTGACACAAGTCTACACACACAAATATATATCTGTGTAATGATTTTAAAATTCGTAGATGAAAACAGTGGAACTTTTAACAGCTTAGACACTGTGTAGATGGCCGAGAAGACTGTAGTGGCTTGAAGGTGGCTGAGTGGAAAGCATGATGATGCAATTTAGCACAGTGTATCTTGAAGAACAATCTTTTACGTATATCAAATCATCCTTTTTCAGACAAGATGTTTCCTAATTAGATTTGAATACAGTAAGTTGCATTTTGAAGTCCGACATCATCTTCAGCAAGTAAGCAGCAGCATGGATGAAACCACAACCAAATTGGCACATTTATTTTGCCTATTCCAAAAAGCTTACATTTTTGATAAATTTTCAGCAAAAAGAAGGAGCAGACAGACAGCAGTCCAGCTAAGCCAAAGCGGTAAAAGCAAGTGCTATATTCAGAGTGAAGTCTTAATTCAGACTGAGCTAGTTTTAGAGAGAAAGAATCTCAGTTATGCATTTTACAAGATTGGATGAAATACAGATAATATGTGATTGGTTAAATTACTATTGGCTGTTTTAGTTCCATTTGCATCATCAGAATTATGTAAGAGTCATATGATATAGATTTTTCTCAAAATGACGCAGTGCAAATAGAGGTTACTATTTTTTAAATACAGAAGGGAATTAATTTTTGCTGTTAATTTAATCTTTTACATATTCTTTACTTTTCTTACATAAATATATATGTAATGATTCCAAATGTGTAGATGGAAACAATGGAACTTTTAACAGCTTTCGATTTTGCGTAGATGAAGAAGTATATGGTACTTTAACTTTTTGAATGTGGACATGGCTGGGTGGATAAGGCAGGAATAAGACGTTGACAAAACTAATTTCGGTGAATCACCATCTTTATTTGCAGGCACATAAAAATTTATTTCTTTGGCAGACAAATTACTTTTTTATCATAGATGAATACAAATAATTTTTATATACACATGGTTTTTATATATATTTTATATACACAGATAAAAAGCTACAACGTCATTTCAGGCAGGGAAGCATAAGTGGTGCAGAGTTGTTTGCATGGAAGAAGTCAGGGAAAAAAGGGGAAGGATAGTGCTTGTGACTCAGTATTATATTATTACATATTATTCATTATATATATACACACACATAACAAATAAGTTATCTTGTTATCTGAATTAAGGTAATACATAATTCATTAAAAAAAAATTTAAAACCAATCAGTGTGATTATTACATACAGAATCTGAACAGAATACCTACACAACCAGTTGTATATTTTAGGTAATACGTTTCAAATTTTATAATGAATAAACTATACAGTAATAAATGTTTCTGAAAATGTATGTTCAACAACATCATGTTCTGTTTTTGTATTCATCTTTCTCACCACCACCACACACACACACACACAGAAAAAAAAAAAAGATAGCTGACCTGTGAATCTTCAGGTTTCAAGTTCTTTATATACTTGTCTACATAATTCAGCAGCAAAGGTGTCAGGTATGATTCGAGCTTGAACATTTTCTAACCAACCTAATAAAATATTTGAATCAATTGAACAGTTTAAAATACATAATAAACAGAACAAAACAGACAAAAACTATTTCTTAACTGATGGTCTGAAATAGCATTTGTAATATTGAACATTTTTAAGCAACTAAGCAGAACATCAATAAATAAATTCAAAGAATTTCTGAGTGATTTTTGTTAAAATACTGGAATACTGCAAAAACACAGATAAGGATTTATTTAAATTCAGAACACCTAAGGAGCACAATAAAGAAACAATTATCTGAAGTTAAGCATTATCTCACACAAAATCATAAAAACATTTTTCAAAAGCATTAAAACCTTTGCTATGAATTTTATATTAGGCACATATAGACAGACCTATGTCAGATTTCTCCTTGATATAGATTGTAACATTGGTATATACAGTACAAAGTCCGAAATACGGACTCATCAGGACTTCAGCGATTCCGGATTTGGCATTTTTCCAGATATTAGATCATAAGTTTAAATCTAGTAAGATGGCATATAGAAATTATAAAATTAAAAATATGAAATCATGATTTATGAAATAATGACATATTTATGATGTAAAGGGTATCAAAATTTACAAAAAAAAAAAAAAAAAAAAAACTTAATATATATTTGTTTTCCTTATTAAACATTTCTTTCAATGTAAGTTGTTTAAGTTGCTTTGTTTTTTGTACTAATACTGTCTCTTTAATTCTGTAGACAGACATAATCTCTTGTTTAGTTACATTGTTGAAGACCTGTAACTGCTGTTTCGAGAATTCCTACTAACCTTGTCAATCGAAATTTTCTCCTTTTCAGTAACTTCTCTGTCCCTTTCTTCACCATCCGGGAGTGGTATTTTCTGGATCTAGAACCATACTACAGATTTCGCCAATCATTAATTGATTGATGATTGAGAAGCATCATCATCACAATGAAAAATTACTTTTATATCATCTTTATTTACTACCGATTCTCCACATTCCTTTACAAAATCCATTAATTGGAAAATTTCTACTTTGTTTTTGCGATATCGAAAAACCTTAAAATTAGTGGCTATCATCATCAAATTTAGCTATCCATCACTATACATATTTGGCTATGCATCACGAGCTTGGCAACTAACGATAAGGTGTTATTCCGCTAAAATTTATCTTGCTTCTATCGCGCACTGAGACAATTAAGCCTGAATTGTATTAGTTACTTAGGTACTTACGTATTAACGCAACCAGGCCAAAATTCGCCAAATTTGGCACGACAACCCTACGTGTTATACGTAGTTTTTCGTAAAGAAATTATTTTTCTTACTGGTTAGATTGAATGCTCTGAAATACTTTAACTATGGGTATTTAGGATCTGCCCGCGAGTGAAAAAGGATGCTGTTGAATTGTTGCAGGGATATGGAATTATACCGAACGAACGTATTTGTAAAAATTCTCATAAAATGAAACTGTATTTTGGAAAGCAAATCTTCTGGAAATGTAACATCGAAGAGTGCAATCAACATTTGGTTGTGAGAACCGGAAATTGGTTTGAAGGTAGCCGAATTTCATTTGTGACAGTGGTTTCAATCAGTGCTAAAAGCAATAGCCAAAAGATTTCCGCCGAAAAAATAATTCTGCAACTTATTCAAATTCGAAACCGGAAGGGTTTAATTGCTATTTTATATTTTAAAACAAAATAATATAAAAAAACTGTATTAAAATTATCTGTAATTAATAATGTACATTTTCTTTCTATTCATACTTTTTTACTCAAACTTACAAATCGCGCCAACCTGGTTGCGATAATACACAAGCACCATTACTTATAATACTTCTGTCTGTTTCTTGCACATGCTTAAGGCATATCAGAGTTCTGAATAAATAAATTAACACATATACTTAAGCCTTATTGATAGATATCTTACCACGTGATGCAGTCTCTAGGAATCCTAAATTCTGCGACTTGGTGCGGTCATACGAGCATTGGCGCTGGTTTTGCGTTTATGTGAATAACAAATCAGTTATTCTTAATTCAAATAGCCCCAAATGTAATCTTTGCATCTATGAGTATCATCAGCAAAATCTATTTTTAACACATAGAAATTTTTAGTTAATTTTTCCTCGTCAACATTTTTAGCGCATTAAACGTAAATCTGTAATCATCGCCAAGCGTAATGTCAACATAAAAGGTTACCATACTCCTTTATTATTCAATTACTAACATGAAAAAATTGTTTAGGCATCACTACATCAGTCATTACTCAAGTTGTCATGTTTTAATAAACAAGTAGTGATGAAAGGAAAGTATAATAAATAATGATTCGCCAGGTTGATGTCAGATGAATAATGTGTCTATGTGGAATGTTTTGGTTTGAGATAGGCAGCAACGGAGTCAAATTATTGATCATACAATTTTATGCTAAAATGATTGTTTCTCCAATAACAATGTATTTATTTAGTGTCAAAGTGAAATTAAGAATCTCTCCATAAGTATTATTACACGTGGAGGGGGGAATCAAATGCACATGCGTAAAGACTAACAGAAAAACGTTGGAGGTTGGAATTATACACCTGACTGAAAAAATAGTGGATAAATGTAATGCCAAAAATCACATTAAATGTAACTATTTTGAATTTTTTTGTTACCTTTTTAGTGTAGGATATTGTTTATGATTGCAATAAAATAAAGAAATATTAAGAATCGTTATACTTTTTTTTTTGAATTGTGCCTGCTAGCAATTTTCTCCAGATGGGGAATACGGTTAAGAAGCTCTGCTTTAGATGATAAATACTTCATTATTTCATAAATCACGATTTCATATTTTTAATTTTATAATTTCTATATGTCATCTTACTACGAGTAGATTTAAACTGATGATCTAATATCCGGAACAATCCCAAATCTAGAACCGCTGAAGTCCCGACGAGTCCAAATTTCGGACTTTGTACTGTACACAAACGAAGCACTACGTGTGATACTATACATAAATGTTTTTCTGCGGTCTAGATCAAAAGCAATTTTTTAACATGCTGCGAGGTCTCTGACCTTCGTTTGGTACTCAACTTCACCCCCTTCATAACATTAGCTGGTTTAATAGCACTTTTGTCTCGCACTACGGCAAACATAATCCTACTTGCCATACACAACAGCCAAGTTCTGGATATGAATGCCATTTTCATACTTTTCACCAATTTCTTCTTCTACTCTCTTGGTGAACCTAACAATTTTTTTTTGCCCGACTTTCCTAAAATTTCTTCTAATGAATTATATATATATATATATATATACAGACAAAAGTCTTTAATCCGGATTCGTGGAGACTTCAGTGATTCCGGATTATAAAACATCAATTTAAATCTGGTAAGATGGCATGTAGAAATTATAAAATTAAAAATATGAAACCGTAATTTATGAAATAAAGAGCAATTATGATCTAAAGGGTATCAACATTTACAAAAAAAAAAAAAAAAAGCTTAATATTTATTTGTTTACTTTATTAAACATTTCTTTCAACGTGCGCATGCGTAAAGCATGCATTATGCATAGTCGAAATTAGAAAATTTCAACCAGAAAACTATTTGATGTGTATTCGAGATATTTATAATGACGAGGAATTTGATTTAAATCATATCAAAGATGGAGTACATCGAGATGAAATACTACATTTAGTAAGGAATTATAAGCCGAATAAAATAAAAGCATCTGCCCTGAAGATAAGGATAGTGCTGAAAGATCAACTTCCAGTTCATTGCGGGCTGCGACGTTTCCCCCCTCCCCACCCGCAGAGCAGCGTGAAATTGATAAACAGATTTCGGAATGGTTAGAGAAACAAAGGATATGCCTTTATCCATTTTTTGCAGCATTTACGTATTCCGCTTTTTGTTTAATGGACATCGCAACAGTTTCACTTTGTAGATAGATCCTTTGGCAACTCCAGAATTGGAAACTCTTTTCACATAATCGAAAGTTCAACTTTAGTTTTTATAAAATTGCTCTAACACTCTGAAAAAAAACAATAAGCCGGATCGGCTAATCTTTGGAATATGGTAACAGTATTTGGCGACATTTTGGAGGCGATAAAGTTACTACTAGGACTTTGGGAATAATGTGAGAAGTACTCAGTTCGATTACGCATTATTTTGTGTGAGGAATGAGAGATCATGAGATTCATGCGACATTAATGGACGAATTACAGTTCTTTAATTGGAAAAGGGGGGGAATCTGTTTTGTTTTAGCTTATTCTGTGTTGTGTGAAACGTGTTGGTTAATTTTTGGATCCCCTGGCCTATCTAAACTGAATTCGAAAGGGTATTTAGGGATTGAAAGGGGTAGTAATAAGTGTTTTTTTAAGGGTGTGCGCGAGAAGAAGTAAAGATTGCTTATTAAGTTTTATTAAGTCTGTTTGGAGGATGAAGGTTTCAACATCTTGCTGTTAATATAAGTATGATTTTAAAGATCCTGAAACAGGTGCACATAAATTGCTTTTTATTAGCGGAGGAAATAAGAAAAGTTTATCCGCCACGTAATCAAGATTCTGAAGAAGATTAGGTAAGTTAGTATTTTTAATTATTTGAGGATATTATTTTTATGCATGTTCTAAATATAAGAGTAAATAAAGTAATATGGTATTATTGGAAAATTGTATTAGCATGATTTAGTTTAAAGTAATTAGGATTCTAAGTAATTTTTATTAATTTAATGTATGTGCTTATTTATATTTTAAGCAGTTGTTTTTTAATTATTATATTTTAATTAAATGAGTTATTGTGAATTATATGTGTAGGAGTTTGGTATACGTTTCAGTGGAAGTAAACGTGCATGGCAATAATTTAAGTATTTGCAACTATTTTATGTTTGCGTTATGAATTTGTTGGGACGTTTATAATAGATAATTTAGAAGTAATTTTTGGAATTTTATTTATTTTATACGTGCAAAGTTCATCCTGGATAGGGTATATACTTTTTCGCGATCCGTAATCATATATGTCTTTTTACCGGATTTAAAGATTCACAAAATTTTCATGCATTTTCGTGAAATTTTTCTAATTATAGAAAAAAAGCATTGTACAGGATATAGTGAAGAGTGTGCGCAATGCCATTTTTTTGTGCAATTCTGGGATTTTTTTTTAAGTAAAAATAAGTCGACGTGTACATGGTTTAGTTATATTTTAATTAAATGATAGTTATTTTGTGAATTTTATGTTTGTGCAATTTGGTAATGTTCAGTTGAAGTAAACATCATGGAATAATTTAAATATTTGACACTAAGTATTTGTAACCATTTGTAATGTTTGCGGTATGAATTTGTTGGTGATGTTTATAATATAATAGATAGTTTAGAGGTAAAAGTTTTTGGATATTTTATTTATTTTATATGTGAAAATGTTCTTCCTTGGAAAGGGTATATACTTTTTCGCGATCAGGTAATTTCATATATGTACTTTTTACCGAGTTTAAAGATTCACAAAATTTTCCTATATTTTCGTGCAAATTTTTGTAATTTATGAGAAAATAGCAGTGTAGATGGATAAAGTTAAGAGTGTATGCAATGCCATTTTTGTGCAATTCTGGGATGTTTTTTTAAGTAAAAATAAGCCAACGTGTACATGGTTTATGTGTATGTGCGATTTTGAAAAACGCGTCAAGGAGTTTGCGATTCTGCACTTTTTCCCAATTTTGCAGTTAATATTTGTCATGATTAAGCAGTTTTGTTCCATAAAATTTCTAGCATAAGTGTAATTCGGATAGCAGATTGTTGGAAAAAATGTTCAGTAAATAAAAAGAAAAGAAACATGTCTTTACTTCGTGAAGACAAAATGGCGGCAAAAATAAAAAAATAGAGGGTTGCTGTAGCAAAGTTGGTCGCCAAATTTTCACCAAAAAATCGCCAAGTTACTATAATCCAAAGATTAACCGCCGGATCCAATTCGAAGATTAAGAAACAACGCAATCAGCAACATTAACTGAAATAGATAATTAGATAATTTTAGCTTAGCTTATACAGTCCGTTATACATTAAACATGCATGCGTAAACGTACTATGCGCATGCGCACACGCATATGCGCCTGTGTAAAGGTATTACGCGCATGCGTAAACGCCTATACACATGCGTGAATGCCTATACACATGCGTGAATGCATTATGCACTGACGCATTCGCAGAAAGTTTGTAGCTTTGAGGTCCGAATTATGGGTGTCTGGATTAACGACTTTTGACTGTATATGTAAATAAATAAATAAAATCACTTGGGAATTCATAGTTGTAATACTGAAGAACAGTAACACACATTAATGATGATAGGCAGTGCAGAGATAGAAAGACAAATGTAGTATTAGTAGTCGTGACTCAACGCATATTCCAAACAAAATATCATATACAAAACAAAATTTTTGCTGCCAAAATTTGCCATATAGCAAACTAGATGTATACTGAGATACCAAAGTAATTTAAAAACTACTGGAACACCACTTTTGGTTGCTGAATAATAGGTAAAAAATAACAATGCTTTGATGCCTCTACAACTGCGAAGCACTTCTACAAATATGTATAAATCACTTCAAAACAAACAAACAACAAAAAAAAAAAAAAGGGGAAAAGAAAAAAAGAAAAACTCAAAGGGATGTTGTTTAACCCGGGAGCACGGGCGTTCATTTGAGTTACACGAGTGTGCGCACTGGGTCCAAAGGACCCAATTCATGTTTTTCGAAGAAAATGTTGTAAATTCTTTCAAAAAAGTGTTACATCTATGCCAATAATAAATTTTATATACAAACTTAAAAAATATGCACATTAGAAACTTTAATTTCTCCAAATGCTCTTATGAAATAAAATTTCGGTTAGAGTTCACTTTAGGGTACCCTTGTATTATCGCAAAGTTGCCATTTCATTTATCACCAAGTTGTTGTTTCATTTATGGTAGCCTGAGTAGTTAAATGTTATGGAATCCCTAGTATGACATAATCATTGCGGTAAATTCATAAGGGCTTGTGGTTGTGTGTGTGTGTTGGTTAGGAAGTATATTGCTTGTTTTGTGGTTTAGATGGTAAAATAGCCGAATGTGGTAAGATTAATTTGAAGTTTCTGTACAATATGGAAAGAAAGGGGAAAAGAGCATTACTTAACTGGTGTGTAAAGGAAAGTGGTTGATCTTTACATTACGGTAACTGGTAGTTTGGCGACATTTTGGAGGCGATAAAGGTTACTACCTGGGACTTTGGTAATAATGTGAGCAGTACTCAGTTCCATTCATTAGCCCAGCAATACAAAGATTACAAGACTACATAAACATACTCAAGACTTGGTTGACAAAATGGAAGATCAAAGTTAATGTAAATAAGACTCAAGCAATCCTTTTATACCAAAGAAGAACAAATTCAATAAAACCTTGCAAGTTTATGGAGAAAGATATCCCATGGGCCAAGCAAGTCCTTTATCTTCGGGTGATCCTCAGTAAAACTCTCTCATGGTACCCACACATAACATCTATCCTTAAAAAGTTTCAAGTTAGTAAAGCTACACTTCACCCCTTAATTTCTCGAAACAGCGTACTTTCAATAGATAACAAGTTGCTTATTTATAAAACTGTATTGTGTCCCATACTATGTTATGCCTGCCTGGTTTGGGCATATTCATGCAAATCATATAGGAAAAAGTTACAGCAGGCATAAAATTGTGTCGTAAGGCAGATCACCAACTCAGCCTGGTACGTTCGAAATGAAAAACTTCGTGATGAATTAGGCATTGAAGAACTGAAATATTTTTATTGCCAGCTTGCACGGAATTTTTATGCTAACTTCACAAGTATCAACAACCCTGTTATAAGGGTCTACGATTATGATGTAAATGACTCGAATAATTGTAAACAGTATATGGCCATACTTAGTACTCATGTTGTTTAATTTGACTTAATTTACCTGTACTGTAAAGTATGATTTACGCTATGATTTAAGTGCACTAGTTGACTCACACTATCTGTATTGTATGTATGTATCTCTAGGTTCAGGTTAAAGCCAGCTCTTTTCCAGTTTCTCAGCTGGCATTTTCAGGTCTTTATTGGAACTCAGCGCATACTTTATTTGTGCTAGAATGTCTTATTATCCCAATACCCAAAAATATGATCATAATTTATAAAAAAAATTATTATATCTCATGTTAGTTACTCATGACAGCATTCGAAACAACCTACATGTTCGACAAGGGGTAGGGTCCTTGACCCATGCACCCTGGTGTTCTACACCGCTTCTAAGTGCGACCGTATGTTCTGTGCTTTTTCAAACACTGCACCTTTTTTCCTCCCCTTTTCTTTTCCTGTTTCCGATAAAACAATTTATGCCATTTTCACTCTCATTTTCAGAATCTATATAATTTTCTGAATCAGTATCATGTGAACTAAAAATTCATGATCACTTCCATCCTCATTTTCTTCGCCATCTCATAACTTCTGCAACATTTCTTTGTCATAAGATAAATTACACAACATGTTTGCCGCTTTCTATACTATCACAAATCAACTATGTAATAGAAATATGAACAGGTACAGTGGGCCTGACAGATCCGATCCGATCAAAATCAAAACTTCGAATCAAAGCCCCAGCGAAAAAACTTTGGAAACATATAAAGGTCGACCTAAGACATGACTACACTGGACCTCAACTTGCACGAAATAGGCATGTTTTGAGAAAGGCTTGTTTAATCACGTGGGTTGATTGCAGCCAGTGTGTGTGCTCGTGGTTAAGAAGGTTAAAAAAATACAAGCATTACAAAATAAACTGCTTTTATAAGCTTTCTTGTCTTTAATTTCAGATAAGACAAAAGATATATATTAAAATACAATTACAAAAGCCCACATTTTTTTTTTTTTTTTTTCAATACTACTTTACATGCCATCAGCGAAATAAATGATGCGTCAAAAAATAAATGTGAACATGCATTTTACTTCAACTTCATATAATATTAAATTAACCACGGCATAAAGACAAGCTTAAGAATGATACGGTAAAATCAGCGAAATTTTTATACCTCTAATAACTATTTTATCCGAATTTTAAGTTACGAAATACCAGTCCACAATACTGCAGAATGCTCTACTACATCGTTAATTATTTTAAGTCTAATCAGAACTTCTAGATATTTAATTTCAAATTAAATTAGATATAAGAACTGCATAATTATTACTTTTAATTAAATTTTATAGCTAAAAAATACCGAGTTGATACAAGTTCTGCTTCTCGAAGAAATTCATTGAGATGAAGCTCCTTTTCCGGACAATTTAAAATTTATACAAATGAAAAATTCCATTAAAAATTACCTAAAGTAACTAAAATATCCGCACCATGCTTTGAGGTTAAATTAGGAAAAGAGTAATAAGAAACGTCATCAAATCATAATCTCTCTCAAACTCAATCCACGCGAAATTTCCGAGCAGAAACCTAAACAAAAGTGCAAGTGAAAGTGTTAATCCCGTGCAGACGACAAACAGCTGTCAAGTTGCTGAAATATATAAGGCCCATCATAAGAAATATGGATGTTTGGTGTTGTTTATTAGATTATGGCAAAGCACTCGAGGATTATCTGCCTTAAGGGAGTGATGTCTTCGTGGAGGACTTTTTAAGGGAAACTGGCTCGTATACACGTTACACATGGAGAAAACCACGAAAACACCCATGTAGCCAGCCCTTTCGCGGGATTCGAACCTCGGACCGAACTACCAGTGTTAAGCGACGTTACCGCTCGGCCGCTGGTGGACCGAAGAAATATGGATGAATTCCAAGCATTGGGATTTACGGCAAGGAAAGTGCCAGATATGGTTCGGCTAAAAACAAAGGTCTCAACGCCCATGCATCAAATTCAAATTATGGGTTAGAGTATATTTAAGAGTGCCCCTTTGATTATCACTGAGTTGTTTCATTTATGGTAACCTGAGTAGTTGAAAGCTATGGAAACCCTATTATGACGTTATTGGTCGCGTGATTGCGGTGAATTGAATTGATGGGAAAAGATTTAGAACCGTATCCTACCGTGCGACGAGATCTCGATATGAGAGTGACGTAACAAGCGACTTCTTCTCGTTCGACTGCTACTAACGATTGAGCGAAAACTGGTATCCTCAAGCGCCTCTACCGTGCAAAGTGCGAAACGTTAAGGCTTTCGCCGATCGAACGAGGTATTAGCTCCTCCTTCGCACCGCCCACATTTTAACGTCCAACAATAGTACAACAACCAGTGAGAAGACATGCTGAAAAATAATCGTAACTTTAATTTTTTTTTTTTTTTTTTTTCTTAACAGATTTGTAAACAACTTATCTTTTTCCATCTCTTTTTAGAATAAGCCGTTATCCCGGATAACTTCTGGTCAGTTACATTTGTGTCTTTCATGAAAAAGGACCATGAAAGATACTATTTTCTACACATCACACACATGCAGATTTATGTATTATTATTTAGATTGCTGTTATTCATTTCCACCACGACTTTTCTTTCAAGAAATTTAGGATCATAAATAACTAAACTGTGTAATCTTCTTCATTGAAGTTCTTAGGCAGTGCAGTTCAAGTTTTAACCTAAGATATACGATTTTTTTTTTCTTTTTTTTTACAGTCATTTAGGGGAAAATCGTTGTTATACCAAATTTTAATTTAAGTCATGACTTTAGATCAGGTTTATACACTTTTGGTTACTTAAAAATATCTACATATTTTTAAGCAGATCTCAGAAGAATTCGATTATTTAGTTTTCAATAACAGAATTCTTGCAGCGCGTCTGAAGATTATTTCAATAATTTATGTATAATTTTGAATGACTAAAAAAATGAGGCTAAAAATATATCATTTAATTATGAATTCCTAAATTGAAATGCAAGTTTTACATGTAAGGTAACTTAATAACTCTATGTGAGTTTTTGCTTGATGCGAGATACTAACTATTTGTGTTGAACAGAAGTTCATATGTTTGGACAAACAGAAGGAGATGTTCAAGTAATATGTTATGGGAATTTGCAAATGTGAAAAAGACGATGTGAAAGGAAACTACTGAAGAACAAGAAATATTAAAATGAAGAAAGAAAAAATTAGAGTAAGTGTTAGACGATAAGGTATGTTTTTTAAATACTTAAAAATAACTCAAAACGTTTTCAAGGTATTCATTTTAGTTTAGTTCTTTTTCAGTAAAGTAGCTAATATAAGAGACTTTTCATTTACATATATCTCATTATGTTTAAAATATAGCTTAAGTAAGTTTTATGTGCTATAGAAATACTTTATAGACTTATAGTGTGGACTGTACATCAACACTCTGTGATGATGTAGGGAACGAAACCTTGATTTATGGATACCCATGTATCTTTCCACTTTGCTACTGCATGCTTTGGTTATATTTTCTTCTATTATGAAAGGGATTTATGTATGGTGTCAAAGTCAAAGTTCCAACGGTAACCTTTCACTTGAAATACTAAAAAATAAATATATGGAAAAAAAATTCTTTGTGCGGTGAAGAAATCGAATATCAGATTCAAGAAAAAATTCGTACCTTACATGAAAATCATTTAAACTCTTAATTCGAAAGAAAAATGCATAATTTTAAGTACAACAATTTGATACATGGAAGATATGTTATAAAGAATTGCCTTTTATCTGCATCTATTGAGACACACAATTTCTTACTTCATGTGTATCTAAATGCATATAAATTAGGTACATTTCATGTTAATAATTTAAGAATCTATTTCTTCACATTACCAATATTTTAATACTACTTACTGAAAAAAAGGGTATGGGAAATACTACTATAGAATAAAATGAATCCACTATTTTAGCATATATCCACTCGATGTTGATACTGATAAATAAACTTAGTATAATATACTGTATACAAATCTAGCACATAAAAAATTATATTTATTTATTTCTAATAAGATATAAATAACCATCTATATCTGAAAGAATAATATTAACAATAATATCAAATACATTCTAAATGCAGACAAAATTAATCAAAAATTGCTATAGACTGAAAACTGGTACTCTGTTATCGGGACTGGAGTAAGGAATGTATATATGTATGCATGTATGTATGTGCATAGTGTACACATATACACACGATGTACATATAATATACGTATACACTTCTTCTGAATCCAGTTCCGATAAGGAAGATACCGAAAATCTTATTTAGGATGACAAGATTGAGGAAGTATATAATGACATTCAGTTTCTTCCCATGTTTCTGAAAATGCTTATTTGTGCTTCATTTAATTTCAAATACAAATATTTGCAAAATGTGCTTATTTCTTTCTTAATAATTTTATTATAAATTTTGGGCACCTATCTAACGTTTAATAGTTTTGTCCCTCCCCGCAGTGCCAAGAATTATGAACTGCACTCTGTCTCCAGATGAATGTGTCATGAACACAAGAACATTTTCATTATTGCCAAGATCTTCATATTATGATCAGAAACTGCCAAAATTAGTGTACATAAAGATTTTGGTAATCTTCGGATTAGGTAACTTGGCGATTTTTGGCAAAACTTGGCGACACCCTGCTACAGCAACCTTCTAGTTTTTTTTGGGGGGGGGGGACGCCATTTTGTTCATGAAGATTTTTTTTTTTACTCAACCTTTTCCAACAATCTGCTAGCCGAATTACGCTTATGCTAGAACTTTTATGGAACAAAAGGCTGAATTATGACGAAGATTAGATGCGAAATTGGGAGAAAGTGTAGAATCGCCACTGATTGCCGCGTTTTAAACATTGCATACACGGTATCCATGTACACGTCGACCTATTTTCACTTAAAAATAAATCCAGAATTGCACAAAAAGACATTGCCCACACTCTTGACTTTATCCATGTACACATCGACCTGTTTTCACTTAAAAAAGGTCAAAGAAAATTGACAAAAATCCAATTCTTTTATCTTGTAAAAAGCGCCAAACAAATAAGTGGGCGATTCTGCACTTTAGCTGCGAAATTGTTTCCACGTGCTTATTAGCTAAAATCCCGATTGGAATTTTCTGGAAAATGTCACATTACATGTCTCATAATCTCTCGTTTCTCTGAGACAAAATAATCTGTGATTCGAGCTGTGTACTTCTCATATTATTGCTAAAGTCCTAGCTAGTAAACTTTATCGCCTTACCAAAATGTCGCCAAACTACCTGTTACAAGATTCCAAAGATTAGCCAGATCTTTATCTAAAGGCTTAAACAAGAATAAAGGAAATATATGCTATCAATAACAGAGAGTATAATGTTTATCAGGATTTTAGAAATGCCCATGTTGGATAACTTTTAAATGTTTTGAAACTTATTAGCTAAATGATAATAATCTACTTAATATGAAATAATATTCTACAATATAAAATTATTGAGGAGTGTTAATTAAATCCTTGGGTTTACTAAAAATAAATTACATAAGCATTATACAATCTCATTCAAATTATGGAAAGATACATTTTATAACATTATGAAAGCTGAGTATTATTCAAAACTAATCCTACTTAGAAAATTCTCAATACACAGTTTATAGTTTTACAATATGTAACAATTATCAGTACGATCTCTAAAAGTAAAACCTTCTCATTTGTGTGTCAAAATCAAGATCCGAAAGAGATTAAATGGCTACTGACAACTACTAATTGTTTTTATAAACTGTATTAAATCTATACATGAGAAATTGCAATATTGTCACATGATGATTTAAAATAGCATAATAATATACTGGTAAAGTAAAATGGAGAAAAGAATACTTTTTTCAACAGTGGCGTAGCTGGGTGGGGCAGGGGGGACATCTGTTCCGGGCGCAGTATCCAAGGGCCCAAACTAATGCTACGAAATTTTTATGAAATGTTTCCATTGGCACACAGAAAGGGGCGCAAATTCTTCAGTTGTCCCCGGGCGCTGGAAACTCTAGCTACGCCCCTGTTTTTCAAACAATTTCATGACAACATATCCTTTATAAGAAGAAACAGGGTATTTTACATCAATAGGTAAAAATTACAATCCCTTTTCACATGAAGTTTTAAGCACTATAATTAGATAAAATATTAACAGATGACTTCAAGAATAATATCAAAATCTAAAATCCCAACAAACACTGTAATTCGCTTCTAAATACTACTGCAAATGAATTCAACTAGTTATCCTTTTTCAGATCCTGATTTTTGACAAAACACAAATGAGAATGTTATGCGCCAAAGATGTAATTTATTATGAAAACCAGAGAGAAATTTAATTAACATATTCTTCTCTGTTTACTATTATACAATTCGGAACTTAATTCCAATTAAATTTTTCGAATGTTTCAGGTGATACATAAAAAATATTAAGCAGAAAATTATTCGTAAAGTAAAATTATTCGTAAAGTAGACGAATTCATAAAAAATGTTTCTACAAATGAAATTGATCAGAAAAAAAGAAATCAC